ATACGTACTGTACCTGTATTGAGCAAAGTGTGAAAAATACGTACTGTACCTGTATTGAGCAAAGTGTGAAATATACCTGCTGTACCTGTATTGAGCAAAGTGTGAAATGTACGTACTGTACCTGTAATGAGCAAAGTGTGAAATATACCTCCTGTACATGTATTGGGCAAAGTGTGAAATGTACGTACTGCACCTGTATTGGGCAAAGTGTGAAATATACGTAATGTACCTGTAATGAGCAAAGTGTGAAAAATACCTGCTGTACTGTATTGAGTAAAGTGTGAAATATACCTGCTGTACATGTATTGGGCAAAGTGTGAAATGTACGTACTGTACCTGTATTGGGCAAAGTGAAATGTACGTACTGTACCTGTATTGGGCAAAGTGTGAAATATACATACTGTACCTGTATTGAGCAAAGTGTGAAATGTACGTAATGCACCAGTAATGAGCAAAGTGTGAAAAATACCTGCTGTACTGTATTGAGTAAAGTGTGAAATATACCTGCTGTACCTGTATTGAGCAAAGTGTGAAATGTACGTACTGTACCTGTATTTGGCAAAATGTGAAATATACGTACTGTACCTGTATTGGGCAAAGTGTGAAATGTACGTAATGCACCAGTAATGAGCAAAGTGTGAAATATACGTAATGTACCTGTAATGAGCAAAGTGTGAAAAATACCTGCTGTACTGTATTGAGTAAAGTGTGAAATATACCTGCTGTACCTGTAACGAGCAAAGTGTGAAATGTACGTACTGTACCTGTATTGAGCAAAGTGTGAAAAATACGTACTGTACCTGTATTGGGCAAAGTGTGAAATATACGTACTGTACCTGTATTGGGCAAAGTGTGAAATGTACGTAATGCACCAGTAATGAGCAAAGTGTGAAATATACGTAATGTACCTGTAATGAGCAAAGTGTGAAAAATACCTGCTGTACTGTATTGAGTAAAGTGTGAAATATACCTGCTGTACCTGTATTGAGCAAAGTGTGAAATGTACGTACTGTACCTGTATTGAGCAAAGTGTGAAATATACGTACTGTACCTGTATTGGGCAAAGTGTGAAATGTACGTAATGCACCAGTAATGAGCAAAGTGTGAAATATACGTAATGTACCTGTAATGAGCAAAGTGTGAAAAATACCTGCTGTACTGTATTGAGCAAAGTGTGAAATGTACGTACTGTACCTGTATTGAGCAAAGTGTGAAATATACGTACTGCACCTGTAATGAGCAAAGTGTGAAAAATACCTGCTGTACCTGTATTGAGCAAAGTGTGAAATATACCTGCTGTACCTGTATTGAGCAAAGTGTGAAATATACCTCCTGTACATGTATTGAGCAAAGTGTGAAATGTACGTACTGCACCTGTAATGAGCAAAGTGTGAAATATACGTACTGTACATGTATTGAGCAAAGTGTGAAATAT